CATACCCAACCCAGCCAACATCCACCCAGCAAAATTACTAGTATCCACGTATTACCAGTTCCGTAGTGTGTGTGTGTGTGTGTGTGTGTGTGTGTGTTTTAGTGATATTGTGAGTAATCTGAGAACACTTTTTAATGTGGTGCAGTAGAGTTCCACTAAATCTCTACTCTTAAACTCTGACACTATTAGAGGTCGGTCGAGGGGTTAAGAGGGTGAATGTATGTGGAGATAAACATAGAGTGACGCCCATCATTATTTTAGAGGCTAAAGGGGGGGGGGAGGGAAAGGAGGATAGATGAGGGGGCTGAAGAGATAGAGGAGGAACAAGATGAGAAAACTGGAGGAAGAAGAACGAGGTGGGAAGATGAGAGGATCTGGCCGAAATTATTGCACCAGTCATGTGAATAACAGTAATACTTACTAAGAGTAGTCAAATTATATATTAAGTCTCTGCAACAAAAAGAAATCAAGTAGTGGCAATGTTTATAATTTTCTAGATGATAAACAAAGTCCGTGTTTTTATATATCTACTTCCTCAATTTGTATCCAGACTCACTCATCCCCTTCTTTCCTATTTTTCTTCTTCACGATCTCCCCTGCTCCCTCATTTATCAGCACCCCCCCCCCTCCTCCCCCCACCCTCTATCCCTAGTGACGGAGGAGTGGCGGGCCAAGGTTGGGCCCCTGGAGTGGCGGCTAATTATCCTCCACCTCCCGCTGCCCTCCGCACCACACCACCGCTAATTGGGCGGGCACTGCAGCAGCCCTCCATCTCGCAGCCCTCAATCCTACAGCCCTTACTCTACTGAGTCTTTATTACTGCAGCCATTTCCCAGATCTCCCCCCCTGTTACCCTCAGTACTATAGCCCTCTACAGTCCTTACTCTTGAACTGCCCTCTCTAAGTCTTACTCCTGCAGCCCTTATTGCCACAGCCATTCCCTATCCTAAATCCTGTAGCCCCCATCGCTACAGCCCTTCCCAATCCTTACTTCTTCATTTATTCCCAACCTGGATTATAACCCTCTCTCATATAGTCTGTCTCTTCTCAAACTTTTGTCTTAGTCTTTCCCCTGTCTTCACTAATACAGCCCTCGACCCTCCCTCCTGTAACTACTTACCAACCCTCACTCTTACATTCCTCCCCTGATCTGACATTTACAGCCTTTTTTTCTGCCTCCACTCCGGCAGTACTCCCTAATACCCCTCAGTCCCACAATCCATGCACTTTTTTTTTTTAATATTCATCAGGTTTCACGTTTTAATTTTACGTTCCCTACTACAGCTCAGAACCAACTGTCTTACTGTAAACTTGGTCCCTCATTATATCTAATTTACTGACTCGAATAAAAACGGTATAGTTCAATGAGCCTTGAACATTTAACCTTCGCGATATCTCGCTTTTGAGTGAATTGCCAAAGGTTTCATAGATGAATATCATCTTGTTTTTGTCTGAGCTTAGCAACAACAACAAACTATCGAATTTTGTCCTCTACTATAAATTGACCTGTATTATTATTATTATTATTATTATTATTATTATTATTATTATTATTATTATTACTATTATTATTATTATTATTATTATTATTATTATTATTTTATTATTATTATTATTATTATTATTGTTATTATTATTATTATTATTATTATTATTATTATTATTATTATTATTATTATTATTATTATTATTATTATTATTGCTGTTGTTATTAAAAAACATATCATCGGAGAAATTCAGCCGCCTTTTCCTTGAAAATTTTCCCCAATTGTTATTCATCAGCTGGCATAGGTAACTTTTGATTGGTTAATATTCCTCCAAAGTGGTTGTTCCGGTCATGGTGATTACAGTTAGCGAAGAATCAAAACAAATGCACCACGACTCATTCTGGCGGTAGCTTCAGAATTAAACTTCCATTCGGGTTTCTCTCTAATCTAGCACCGTTACGAGCCGTAAGTGAATCACTTATTACCAAGATCTAGTTAAGATCATGTTAGTGGATCTTAACTAAAATTTCTCTCATGGTAGACACTGTTGTGCAATACCTAAGTTACCCATAAAGTTGTAACGTCACTGCTTGTAAAACGCGTCAAAGAAAATTGACAAATTTCAGGGGTAATTCATATATGATATTTGTTCCTGTACGAATTATGCCAGAATCCGTGCAGATAACCTAAAGTATGTACAGTATATGGGTAATATTAAGGGAGAATAAAAGTTCAGATTTGATTGTTGTGAAGGCCTAATTGGTACCTAATTGTGTAATATTGTGAATGATATAACGGTGTTTGAACGTTATGTTATTTACGTCTGTATGAAGTAAATAAACATAGCCATCTAACTTGAAGGATAGTTACACACAGTACAATGCCCAGAGAACTTCAGGGATGTATGTGAAGGGTAGATAGTAGCCAATAATGTGTTAAAGTGAGTTTTGTTTTAATTGTTTATTGATTGATTTTTTTTTTTTTATTACTTTTATCCCCTTCACCGCTGATCGGCTCGTTAGCTGCTTGGGCGACCGGTCACGTCTCTGTTACGCACTGTTGGCAAGTACTGGGCATGCACCGGCTTCTGAATGTATTTGAACCTGCTCCAGTGTTGGTCAAACCTGGTCTTCAAAGAGCTTACACTCGGTGCTGTCACAACACTCTGGCAGATTGTTCCAAGAGTTCACAACTCGCACTCCGAAAAGGTTTGCCCTCACAGTTTTCTGGACCTGCGACTTCTTCAGCCTTGGGTGCGCATGTTGACAACAAACTGAAGTTCTCGGGCCAGCGTGAGAAAGTGAATCAAGCATCTAAGCTAGTAGGTCTTATAAGACTGTCAATTGATTGAATATATCCAAAGAAGGGCCACCAGACTAGTGCATGCACTAGGGTACCTCAGTTACTCAGAGAAATTAGAATGCCTACAACTGCGTAGCTTATACTACAGATGGGGAAGGGGTGACCTAATTGAAGTTTATCATCATCTCAGAAGGCACTACTCAGTCGAGTGCCCTTATCAAGAGCTGGGCATGTACGGGCTTCATAATATATCTGTACCTGTGCTAGTGTTGATTAGATCTGGTCTTGAATGAGCTCACACTCAGTGATATCACAACGCTCTCTCTCTGGCAGTGTTCCAAGTGTTTACATTGTCACTCTGAAAAAGTTTGCCTTGACAATTTTCAGAATAATAATGGGAAAATACTTTCACAAATAGTCAAAAACAAATTTATAAAAAATGTGACAGTGTACCCTCAAGTCCGTCCTCGATTACAGTACTTTTATTAATAGAGCATGGACTTGAGGGGAGACTGTCACATTTATAATAATTTGTTTATGATTATTTGTGAGAGGATTTTCTAATTATTATTTATTTGTATGTGTTTTGTGTGTGAGTGTCTACACACATATTTACAATACAGGTAATGGAAATTACTGTCTCTAGAACGAACGGCTTCCTGTCCCAGCCGCAAAAATGCAGGCAACTTTAAAACTATCCACAGACATTCTTAGGTACATCCAGAGTGTCATCTGCAAATAACCGAGAACTGCGAAATAAAAATCCACGAACTGGAGGGGGGGCTGTATATATATATATATATATATATATATATATATATATATATATATATATATATATATATATATATATATATATATATATATATATATATATATATATATATATATATACACACACAGTATAGTCTGGATTTACACGGTTTTGGTTAACGCGTTTGGTCATTTACGCGGTGCCTTGCCAGAATTGAAATGCTTTAATTACGCGGTAAATTTGGTCATTTACGCGGAGAGCGGCTTGAGGTCCAGACGCGCCGCGCCATTTTGTATTCAAGTGGCCCATGCTTGACCATATGCAGGGAAGCGGCCTGAGTAAGGTTGCGCAGTATGCCTCTATTGCGTTATCGCTGATGTCATATGACGTATCGGATTGTGATTGGGCCACACATTCCCTCCGCCGCTTGCTGTGATTGGTCTAATGTAACATGACGTGCCCTGCCACCAGAGGGTAGAAGTCGCTAACCTAGCCGGGACTGTCTCATTGTTCTCAGTTCTCCGCATACACAGTTCTCTCTTGTGCCCGCTATTCCCCTCACAACTCACAATGGCTTCCGCGAGACCCCCACCACCAGAGAAAAACATTGAATTACCTGGACCAAACCATGATAATGTGAAGGAAATCATCGAGTTGGGGTAGAAAATTAAGCTCATCCTTGACAAAGACACAGTCAAGCATCGGTATGAAGTGTCTAATAACTTTATGTCGAAAGTTATGGAGCCGTATATCCAGATCTATCTTGACAACATCAATGCTAGTCGTCAACCTAGTATTGAGGACTTCTTCGCCCGCAACCCACCACAACCACAGCCAGCCCAATTCAGTGATAGTGAGGATATGGACTTTGAGGGGTTTGTCTGGGAGGCCCTGCAAACCTCTGCGAGTAGTGAAAGTGAGTGATTCACCGGAGGGCAACTAATCTGCCCTCTGCCTCGGAACCAGCCCCCATCCACGTATGCCGACCCATCTCTTCTACTAACGTAAGTGTTATTCCTTGATTTTTCTTTTACCTGGTGCAGTATATTATTCTCTTATTGATATTTATCTTCTATATTAAGTGAATGTGCATACCATCATAAAGTTAAGATACTATTTTTACTACAACGTACGTATTGTGTCGGCAAAAAGTGGAGTTTGGGGTCGGCTCAGTCTCTATTTCAATTAATCCCATATATTCTGCTATTTCATTAACGCGTTTTTGGTTTTACGTGGTACTCCACGGGTTCAATTGACCACGTAAATCCAGAATATATATATATATATATATATATATATATATATATATATATATATATATATATATATATATATATATATATATATATATATATATATATATATATATATATATATATATATATTCGTACTGTACTTGGTATCACCATGAAGTCCAGAGTTGAATATATGTAGGATTTGTAGTAAAAAACTAGAAATTCACTGTCCATTTATTCAGATTTCCCATATTAAGCAACATTTCACATTTTCACAACAAACAACATAACTAGACTGTTATAGGTAGAGTGCCACTACAAATCATACAACTGCCATGAAAATAATTTACACAAAACTAGGTAAGTCAGTTTCATCTAAATCACAAGTAACTTAAACTTTTGAGTAGAGTAATTATCTTTATACCAAAAAGAATCATATGTTGCTCGAGATTTTAAATCACTCAACTAATATTTGGCTCGGAACAATTTTTTTCCAAAATGAATTTTTGTACACAATTCAGTACAGTATACAGTACAGAGGTATATATACTGTACTCTTATATAACCTATGCCTGATATACAACACAGGTACAGTACAGTATTGTATATATAGTACCAGTAAGTTATCTACCAGTCTTCTTATACTCCCTTATGTACTGTACTGTATTTCATAGCACTTCACAGGTTCATTACTATGAAGTGAAGGGTTATTTCCGACAACTGATGAGCGAGTATATCAAGAATTTAATAATGTGTTGTATCATTATTAAGTATACTCAATATTTTGGTGACAATTTTATAAAATATACAGTACCGTATGTATTTCACTTTTGAATCCATGACTTCATCTATAAATAATGTATTATGAGATTAAGTTCAAACTCGAAGAGGGAAGAATGTGAACTCTTCCATAATAAAGATAATTTCAATCAGACATTTTTGCACATTACATTCAAATAATGAATACTGTACAATATGTAATACAGTACAGTACATAAAATTGCACAGAATACAATGTCACATCTCAGAACTACTGTACTGTATATGTCTTAGTAGCCATCAGTATCTTCTTCAAATTTCCTGATAGCCTAGAGCCTATATTGAGTACTAGTCTTAAATTTGAAAGTATGAAAGACCTTTTTATTTCTTCTTGCAAGTTATTCATGTTGCAGGAAACTTACATGTAAAATTATGCATGTTGTGAATGAAGTCTAAGGCACAAACTGAAGAACTAGGAGATTACACACTTGGCATCTTGTTAAAAAGAGATATACAGTATACTGGTCAGGTGATTATGGCAATTTTATCATTATTTGTAAATAGTGTTAGTCTATGTTGTTAAAACACATACCTGTATAAGTAATTCATAAATATATCATTATTAATACCTACTCCATTTTTTCCCTCAAGGAACCACTGTACTGCCACATTGTCAAATTCACTTCACATCTTAGTGTTACTATGCCTATCCAACTGTCCACACAACTCAAATGATATTTACCCAGTAAGCATGGAACAGCCTTCTCTGTGTTCCAACAAGTTTATCACTACAAACACACTACACTGACAATGAATATAATAGTTAACTACAAACTTTCAAACCTTGATAACCTAATTTTTTGAGCTAGCAACACTTTTCAAACTAAAACTCATCACTTCAGATGATTAGGGTGAAGCTTTCTAGAAGCGGATAAATTATAGTCAGTACTGTATTTGTTAAAGAAATTGGAACACATCATGTGGTTACACTGATATTTAATGACATTACATCAATTTACCACAAATCATCCACAAGAGAGACATTGAGATTTTGGGATTACTGAAAAAGTATTTATCAAACCCTTTCTAAAGTTAAATTCTTTTAGCAATCTGTGGGAATACAAAATAATTGTTGTTATGTTTATCATTTAAGAACTGCATTAAATTAATTTAAGGATACTGTAATTTACTTTAAGTCACTTGTGAATAATTCAATGAGACCCCTATTAAACCACTTACCGGTACTTATATACTGTATGCTGTACCATATCCAGATAAATCATTTGCCATCCTTTACAAATTTCTTATATAAAGTAAGATATTCTAATACATGTAGTAAAGGTAATTAGATGCCAAAGTCTTTCTTTCTAGTAGCCTAACAGTAGTTTATTTCCAATGCTTATTTCTATGAATTTCCTCAACCAACATGTAAGTCATTGACTAGTACTGTACAGTATAACAGTTGCAAACATGCAAGGTTTCTGTGGGATAATATCATGCTAAATTAATGCATGCAATAAAACTTTACAATGCATTCCTTTATCAAAATTTCAGTGAAATTAATTTTTTTCCATGTACTTTAACAAATAAACCATTCCCCATATTCAAAGCTGCATGTCATCTGAAAATCTTGATTATATATACAATATAGTGCAGTGCTATACAGTCAAAGAAAGGTCACATTACAGTTACTACGCCTTATGATTTTAAACCTGTGACGTAGAATTTGGGTAAAGTTCCACATTCAGACTCGTGCCTCGAAGCTTCACTGTTACTTTACCCAAATTCTTTATCATGGGTTTTGGAACATACTGTAATGCGAGGGGGTGTAACACGACTTTTTTCTTTGACTGAACATATTTCATAATACAATACTATACTGTACAGAACGTACATTAATATTAATATATTGTACGCTAACTATAAAAAGTATCGGCAAAAATTTTTGTTACTGGTATACAATATAACACAACAGATGAAGGATCTTGACAATTCTCTCACGACAACAGGAGTTGCAGTGTTCATTTTGACATCCATTGGACCCCACTTTGCAGATACTTTCTGAAGCGATTGTACATAAAAAAATTAATACATACTGTACTGTACTGTATGTGTTAATGAAATCTGTACACAAGTACTGTACTAGAGTTAACTTCTACCTGCACCTTTACAAATGCACACCAAATCGGCTTAACCCTACAACTTTTATAGTTTTACACACACACAAAAAAAAAGTGAATTGACTAGTGCTTAAATAAGGGAATTATAGTAAATTACTCTCCACTACTGTGTAAACTCCCAGCAAAAAGTTCCTGAAAGTACTGTACTGAACTACAGCTATAATTTGGTCTTGAACTTTACATCAGCTTCACGAATCACTGTCATCAGCTTGACCACAATAGCTTTATCAGACTTAGAATATCGCGCCAGATACTTGGCCTCCATGTAAATGAGTTCTGTATCTGTTAAATCCAGTTCCCCACCCTTTTTCCTTTCCCACTCTATTCCTACCATATCCAAAAAGCTTTCATACAAAAAGACTTTTGCCATACTCTCTGAGGCTAAATTAAGTGTAGACACCTCTACACCATACTTGGAACCTCCGGCCTGTACACAAAGCCAAGATTCAAGACATGATTTTTTGTTTTCTGGAGAATGAGTATTAGACCACATTTCTGGATGATGTGGCTCACTATGCATATGAAGATCACAAGCATTACGCCAAATGGGATGGTAAATACCATGAACCCACTTGAGGGTATAGCCAATTGCTTGAGAGAATGCAAATTTTGAAAGGTCATGACGTTCTATTACTTCTTCAGATAATTCTGGAACAAACTTTGAAAGTCGGAGGAAGCTTTGCATAATCCAATGGCGATGACTCTTCATCTGAGAAAAATGCTCTCGTACACTGAAATCTTCCCAAATTATTTTAACTAGGTCATCCTCTGCCACTGGATTATTCAGCAATTCTGATCCATTTTCTACTTCCATTGGTTCTTCTCTCTTTTCAATCACAGTTATCCATTGCAAATGACTTTCTTTAATAAAATGTTCTTCAATAGCTTTCTTGAGAATGAGCCCTTCTACATGTTTTCTGAAATTGTAATCCCAATACTCCATGACTATATAGGCTACCATGGTGAAGTATGCATTATCATTTGCTTTTTTCTGAAATCTTTCATCACTTTTCTCATAACTGGCACCACTTGGTCCTGCAGAACTCCTTCCTGATTCTCTTGCATGCTGGAGAATTCTATCCAGCTCTACCTTTTTCTGAGATTGCATTTGTCTCATAATAAAATTTTTATCTTCTTCCCGAACAAATGACAACAGGTTCTTTTCCCTCTGTGTTAAGTCCTCATCTTTCCAAGATGGAAAAGAGTCAATTAATTGATACATGAAAGCACTAATGAATTTATGTTGCCCCTTGCTATATCTTCTTAGGAACTTATCCTCTATATACACAAGGTCTCTAGTGTGAATATCTAATCGACCACCTTTTTTTCTCTCCCATTCAATAGCCACCATATCGATAAAGCTCTCTAGCAGGAAAACTTCTGCTAGGTCCTCGGAAGCAAAATCTAAAGTTGCCAGATTTATCCCATATGGATATCCATCACGGAAATCGCAAGCATTTTTCATCCAAAGCTCTAATTTCTTGCACTTTACTTCAGGTGTCCATGATTTAGACCAAGTCTGAGGATGATGAGGTTCATTCTGTAAATGGAGGTCACAGGCTGTCTTCCACATATGATGATATGTGTTATGTACATGTTTCATTGTATAACCAACAGCTTGGCTAAAGGCAAATTTGGAAAGGTCATGACGCTCAATGATTTCAGGACAAAGAGAAGGCATATGTTCTTTGAGTCTATCATAACTGCGCTGTACCCACAAACGATGAATGTGTACCATATGAAAATGTTCCTTCATGTTAAATTTGTTCCAAAGTAGGTCAATGATGATATCATCATTCTTTTCAATCACCCATCCAGTTTCATCAATTTCTTCACTAATGTCAAGGGCATACACAAATTTAAGATTTTTATCATCCACATAATTTTTGTGAATGGCTTTGTTCAAGATCAGCTTTTCAGCATGTCTCCGCATCTTTGGTGACCACTTATTCATAATCAAAAGTGCAATAGACATGCATGCAGCAAGCGTTTCTGCTTTTTTCTTCAGATCCCTTACTCTGCTGTCATTTTCATGATGCCACAACTCATCTCCAGGTCTCTGATCACACAGCCTCTTTACCTCATCTGCATAGATCGAATCATATAAATAAGACACTTCTTTTTTCAAGTCATCTGGTACAGTCAAGCACATCTGCTCTTTAATGGAGGGTTCTTCTTTTCTGAAGCTGGCTTCTACTTTACTGGAATTGAGTTCCATTCTCAAATATATTACTGTACTTCTTAATGTAATATGTCACCCAAAAATACAAGTTTAAGCTTACTGGTGTGTTTTATATATGTTCAACTACTACCTGTACTGATTTTTTACTATACATTAACAGTAGTACACTGCCAGTGTCCCCTTCAGGTAATGAAATTAACTTACCAGTTCACTTCCAACAAAATCATCCCTTAGTATGGATCAACCTGCAAAATTGAAAGATTATAAAGTGATAATGGAATGGGACTGGAATGATCCTTAGCACTCAGGATCTTCCTTTAAGGATGATAATGGACCTCCAAACAGTATACAGTACATATGATGGCCTGAAAGTGATCCTTGGCCCTCAGGATCTTCCCTAATGTGTAAAAGTAATGTTCATATTCTGTAGTGGAAGGACTTGGGATTGATCCTTGGCTCTCAGGATCTTCCCAAATGTGGATAAATAATCTTCATATAGTGGAAGGACTTGGGATTGATCCTTGGCTCTCAGGATCTTCCCAAATGTGGATAAATAATTTTCATATAAAGGAAGGACTTGGGATTGATCCTTGGCTCTCAGGATCTCCCTACAGGTTGCATTTGGTTCACTTAACAATAAGATGGTTGAAGAATCCTGAACATCTACGACCACAAAAATGAAGAACGGTAAACTTGCAAGTTTTCAAAGTGACAAGTTGCATCTGGAAAAAAATTAAGTGTGTGAAAATCATACGAAATAACATATCGGTAGTTTTGCACAATTCTGGAAAGTGTTTTGAACATCATGTATTCGTTATACTGTACAGTATATATTACACTCAATACTGTATACAGTATTCTAATAACCTAAAAAAAAAATATATGAGCTTGTGTTTTTTGTTTATGGTTTTCAGCTAACCATAAAACTATTACAGCATTTATGGCTTACAGGTCATTGGCAAATGATCTGGTACATTACAACTAAACACCTCTCTGCCCTTCCAAGACAGCACATTGTATAACTAGCTGTTGAGTATGATATATTGTACTACAATCTACAAGGCTTGAAAATAAACACTGAGCTCATTTGGTAAGCTGAATCAAGAATTAATTCTGGTTCCTTAGACCCCTAACTTCAAAACTCTGGACAAAACCCCCTCAGTTATAGTGCAAAATAGGTTAAGTTAGGTTCAGTTTGGCTAGGCTAGGCTAGGCTAGGCTAGGTTCAGTTCAGTTCAGTTAGGTTAGGTATTGCAATCTTATATACGGTAACAAATGTAATGTTTTACATATTAGAGAAGAGTTCATAAACTGTAAATGTTAAAGGATAATAATAACAACTAAAAAATTCTTATTATTATTTGTCTAGGGGCTTTTCTCCTACACTCGGTGGGGGTCCACCAGTATTATTGCAGTTTCAACCAACATGGCTCTTGAATTGAGCATTGTGTCGCTTATTATTCAATTGCAACAAGTAAAAGTAGGGTTCAGAAGATAGCAACACTGGATGCACGAGAGTGCCGAGGAGGTTAAGACAAGCAACATTGCATTGCCACAAGGGCATGATTACTCCCACATCTCACTTCACTTAGACTTCAATTAGTAGCTGTGATTAAAAAAGGAAGTCATCCCATTGAGGGGTAAATTTCTTGGTCAGAAGAAACCAATTGTGTTAGCCCGGAAAACACATTGCACAACTCGAGAACCATATTGGTTGAAAATACAAATTTACCTGCCCCCCAGTTAGTTAAGGTTAGGTAGGTTTCTTTGGTTGGTTAGATCCTGTTCTGTTAGGTTCTAGTAGCAAGTTGACCTTATTCATGTGGTGGACGGAAATAAAGTCACAGGAAAAAAGTCACATGATGGCATTGCACATAGGTATATATGATGGCATTGCACGTAGGTTAGGTTAGGTTTTTCCGTGCCTTTTTTGTTACTTTTTTTCCTGGATTCATTTATGTTTTCGGTGTTTAATAAGTGATGGTGGTGTTTTCGGTTTTTAGTATGTGGTGTAATTTTCGGTTGTAGTGGACTCCTCCCCTTCAAGCACCGAACCTTCTCGAATTCCCTAGTCTACGCCTCCAGCGCCGCCCACGGAGCGGGGGTCAACTATCTACCCACGCCTATAAGGCGGGGGTAGGCGTGGGTAGATTGTTGACCCCCGCTCCGTGGGCGGCGCTGGAGGCGTAGGCTGGGGAATTCGAGGTGACTGGGGAATTCGAGAAGGTTCGGTGCTTGTAGGGGAGGAATCCACTACACGGTGCTCAGAACTTGAACTTTTACATTTTTACAAGTTATGAAAGGTTAGGTCGGGTTTTTAAAGTTTTGGTTGGTGTTATCTTTTAAGTATTTTACCTCTAATTTCCCTCAACTTCGAAGCCCTGCCCACTTGGAACAAATAATATTGTGGGTAATTTTATCGGTTAAAGTACTTGAAAAATATAAATTTCCGATAGACGTTATTAGAATAAATTATTTTTAGTTTTCTCTTTCTATCTATGATATGACTCAATATTTAAGTAAAGTTTTGGCAACTTTTAAATATCAACCAATTAAAGTAACAGTACACAAGGAACAGAAGAGTGATGTGCCTCCCTGCCTGGAGTACTGTGGGGGTACCCTGGTGACTGGTCCCCGAGATATGCTAGGAAGTATCAAATGGCCAAAGGACACCAGACTGGTTCCTCAGTGCCTAACCTGAAATATTAGAGCGCCTGCAAATGCTTAGCTTATAGTATTAGGGGACAAAAGTAAAATGTAACAGTATGTATCTCCGTAACAAAATGGACGTGATACCAAAAACATCGTCACTAAAACGTTTTAAATCGTTACAACGTAATAATAATTACTCGCCAATTACATTTTGACGTTCTTTTACTTTACGGTAATTCTATTGTTTCCTGATAAAAAAATAAACGAAAATAATTTCACTAACTACCAGAAATAAAATTTATGTAACTTTAATGTAGTAGTTAACTCTGACCGTCGACGCCATTGACAGCAAGGTATCTACCTACCTTGACTGATAGGCTTGTTAGCCGCATACAATTGAGATACAATGGGAATCTGAACTTACAAATGAGTAATTACTTGAGAAACTGACACAATATGATCTTAACCTGGAAACCTTTGTTCAGTGGTGTGCACAATTCAGCATCCTCAACTATTCGATAGTAGTAGTTAAGCACCATCCCTTGACATCGCCGTCAGCTAGTGCCAAGTGCCACTCTCCAGTCTGCCACGCAGCACTCGCCCCTTTCTAATCTTTATCAATCAATATACAGTGGTGCCAACTCCTCGAGGGTCGAGGCTTCTCAGCCCTACAGTGCCCTTCATTATCCCCTACGCTACCTTGGTCAAGTTTTTCACAGGGAAATATATTTACCAGCTTTATTTAAATATGACCTTCATTTTCTTTGGAAAATCCACATTTATGAAAAAATGACACACAGAACTAACCAACCAAAAAAACCTGCGTAACCTTACCTAACTTTTAATTATTTTTTTTAATTAAAGCAAATTCTTAGTGGACATTGTGAACAAACGAAGATCACCTCCAAAATAATGATTATCCAAGAATGTTGAAGGGTAACGTTAGCAATATTTAAAATCCAAAAAGCAAAATATTATATTTTTTATAGAAACTGATCGTTTGTAGAGAATAGATATGAAATTAAATAAAAAAAACATATCAAATCGTTTGATGTTTGTGTGTAAACAAACACGGTAAGAGCAGGCTGACAGGTGCCGGGTGAGTTTATTGAACTTTACATTCCTTCTTTAAGTTACATCAACAAATTGGTACAACAAAAACGTACAGGTACAGCACAGAAGTTTGAAGATAATTCGAAATGTAGAATTAAATTTTTACTTTAGGATATGAGTCCCTAGGGGTTGACCGAGTGTAGGACAAAAGCCCCTAGGACAAAAGCCCCTTAGGACAAAAGCCCCTTGGAGAAATAATAAGAATTTTTTAAATCATTAGTTATTTTTTTTTTACAGTTTATGAACACTTCTGTAACCTAACCTAACCTTCGGGAATTCTGTTATAGTTTTAAAGAAGTATACAAGGAATGTTTATTAAATCTGTAATGACGCACGTTTTATCTACTGGGGTAATTACTCCCCTGACATTCAGTGACCTCACTGGACCCTAGGGTCACCCCAGTAAATACAGAATGAACATGAAGGTAAAATATGTCGTCTTTTTTCTTTTCTATTTATTTAATAATGTTCTATATCAAAATTTAAAGAGTTATAATATTCTAATTATTTTTATTGTAATAATTTCATATTTAAATCTATATATTTTTAATATTATTAATGACCCTCTCTTTAACATAAAAACAGGGGGCTTCTGTCCTATTTTGCACTTTTACTGAGGGACTTTTGTCCTAGGGGGTTTTGTCCTAGGGGCTTTTGTCCTAGGGGCTCTTGTCCTAGGGGGCTTTTGCCCGGGCCCCGGGTTGACCAATATGTTTTTCAGTGTATTTTGGTGTGTTTCTAGCGAATCTGACTAATTTTTGTCGGAAATTTATATTTTTTTTGCCCCCTTCCCTCCAACAATAATGGGGGAGAGCCTGGGCAATCGGGGGTTTGGGGCTAGGGGAGAAAACGAGTCCTGTAACCCTTATCCGGGGGCTCTGCCCCCGGACCCCCGATAGGCCTACCTTAATCTCACGTAACCTAACCTAAATGTTTCAAAAACTTAAAACTTTGGGGTGTGCCATGTTTGAAAGTACAATACCTTAGTTAGAAGTGGAAGGACCAAGGATAGGTTCAGGGCCATCGACCTCCTCCTCGTCGGACCTTTCTTTGAGTGGCCCTTGATTTCATCCAGAGATTCCTGCTAACAGGGAAATTACTACAGTAATTTATACTGTACAGTTTTTAGGAAACTTTTATATTGAGCAAAAGTTTGGTAATTTTTTCAGACATTAATGTTGTGAAAGTTTTTAGAACTCTTTGCAATCCCAGAAATTGGCATAAAAATTTGGTTGGAATTCTCTGCTTTTCGCATGAATATGATATAGTACAGTATTGTACACTACTTGTACACTGTATCTTGATTTCAGAAATCCGACAGTATTTGACTTTTCATTGCAAATGTACTATTCATCATAATCAATCCTCCTGTATTTTGACTGGGATGCGTGGTCTTATAAATCAGGTTTTGAGTCACTGTGAAAGCATGTACCATAGGTTCTGAAAGCCTGCACAGGAAGGGGTTAAATTTTGTTAGCCAAGGTTTCAGCATTATGTTAGCTTCCTATTGATGAGGATATACGTAAGTGAAAAAAAATAAAGTGACTCCTTAAATTCCTGAAAGTCATGGATCAAAGATATCTTAAACTTCAGTTATATGAGCAGTAGGTCAGCCTACCAATTTACCTGATGTAAAAATAATATTTTTTAAGTTGTCTGAATTTTTAAAGTACCTGTGCATACCTGTATTTACAGTTGATCAGCATTCATAAACAGTATGCATGGACGAGCATCAAGAGAAGAAGATTCTGATTCTGATTGGGACAGCATATCTGAAATGGCTCCTCCACCTTCATTGAAACAAGAGAGCCAAAATTCTTTTCTTGGGCAGTCTCAAAGTAAGATTTTTTTATTAACTTACTTAACATCTTTATACTTTGATAATTTTAAGTATAATTTTAGGAAGTGGCCATTTCTCTACAGTTATCCCTCTTAATGCAAAATCTCATAATAGTTAATTTTAAAATGTTGTACTGTAATGTACCATATAAATTAGAGACAAAACAATTGAGAAATGAAAGCTACAGAAGTTCCAAATACGTAATGCACTCTCTGGAACATAGGTGATGACAAGGAAGTGCACCTGGAGGCCAAGCACAGGGCTACAAGTGAGGTTTACACGGATAAGAAGCATTAACAGGATGTATTTGCATAAAAACTGAATGCAGTACAGTGGTGCAGATGCTAGATATGAGGTATACAGAATAGCAAGGCATTAGTGGATAGAAACAAGGACATGGTTGGTGAACAGTGCATGAGAAATGACTATGGAGACATATGGGTAGTTCTTGATAATGAGAAAATCAAGGATTCTCATTGAAAATACATTGCTACGATCATTTGCTAAATGAGGAGTGTGAATGGGACAGGGCAGTCTAGAAGCAGCAGCTCCCATAAAGGAACCATGCCCAAGAATTGAAAGAGAATGGATGAAGAAAGTAGTTGACAAAATGAAGAGTGAAAAGGCTGCTGGTAGCACTGGAATAGTTGCAGAGATGGTGAAAGCATCAGACGTTGCTGGAGTGACAGTGGTGACTGAATTGATCAGTGCAATTATGATGGGATGTGTAGTTCCAGTTGACTGGCTGAAGAGAATGATTGTGAATGTGTACAGTTGCGGGAATGTGTTCCTACGCCCCCTGTGGTAACCCGTGTCTCCAGACGGCCAACCTATATGACCTATAGCAAACTTATCCACCAATCATGTACGTCTTTACACTGTCAATACCCATTCAATCATAAATAGTGATACCACTACTGTGACGGAGCCATTTGGAGACGCGGGTTACCACAGGAGGTGAAGGAACACATTTCCACAACTGTACCTACATGGGAAAGGGTATGTGGAACTACAGAGGTCTCTAACTGTTAAATCAGATTATGAAAGTTATGGAAAGAGACCGTGACCTTTAGTGAAATGTAGTTTGTGTTCATAGTCGGGGGGGGGGGGGACTACGGAGACAATAATTATGGTCATATAACTGCAAGAGAAATATCTAGGAAAGGAGAGAAAACATACCTTCTATTTGTAGACAAAAAGAAGGCATTTGACAGGGTACTCTCTGAGGAAAAACAATAGGTGATGAGAAAGTTAGGAGTCAAGGATTGTCTTGATTGAGTGGTTATAACATTGTAAGGGGGTTCAAGAACCTCTGAGAGTAAATGGCAAGGAATGTGAGGTGGAAGCAGTGGTCCCATCTAGGTTTACCTTGAATCCCCTTCTTTTTATCATGGTATTAGAGACACCATCTCAAGACTGTAGGTCTATTCTACCCAGGGAGTTGTATGCTGTCGACTTAGTGTTGATAGAAATGTAAGAAATTGAAGGATGGAGTGGAATCAAAGGGTATGAGAGAATACAGTATGACAAAAACAGACGTAATGAATAGTAGCATGGGTAATGGACCTGAAGTAGAATGACCATCTGCTATCTGTAAGAAAGGTGTTAGGAGCTACTCAATTAATGTGCAGTGAGTGTGGAAGGTGGGTTCACAAGAGGTGCATGGTGTAAATGGCAGATTTCAGGAAGTTGTTGACATTCCTGGACCGTTTTGATCAGTTCTGCTACCTGGGCTTTGTGACATGATCAGTGATAGTGCTGCTGCTAAAGCTAGCTCTGTTACAAGTATCAGAAGTGGCTGGAAGAAGTTTAGGGAGTAGTTGCCATTAGTATTGACAGTGAGAGGATCTTCTCTTCATATTAAAGGGAAGATTTGTATTCTCAGGCTGTTTTTACCAATCCTCTCTTTGTGCACCCAGTTTTTAATTTCATTCATCCAGGTCATTCTCTGCCTTCCCCTGGCCCTCCTACCCTCAACTTTGCCCAGTAATATTTCTGTTTTTTATCTCATCATCCTTAATTATATGACCAACATTTCCCATTTATCTTTTATTGTACATTTAAAGTATTTCTTTTGAAGCTTTTGCTAATCTTAGTACTTCTTCATTTGCTTTCATGTCAGTGTAGCTTATTCTTAGCATTTGCCGATAACACCACATTTCAAAGGCCTCCAACCTCTCTCTGGTGTCTGCTGAAAGTGTCCGTGCATCTAACCCATACAATAGTCTTTGCTATATAAATCCTTTCCGCAGCCTTTTTCTCTAATTGAAGATAATGTCTCTCTTCATTGGGTCTTTTAGATTATTAAATGCTGTTTTTGCGTGCCCTATTCTTGTTTTGATTTCTTCTGTACATCTATCATCACAGCTAGTGTTACTTCCCAAATACAGTACACATAAAATTTTCCACCTGTTTAAGTTCCCTATTGCATACCATAATTTTTATTAAAGGATTTATTTCCAATTTGGAAATCACCATTAGATTCGTCCTTACAACACTAACTCTAAAACCCTATTTTTCACCTTTTCCAACTAATCTTTTAATGAGTTTTGGTGATATCTCTTCACTATCTGTAATAAAGAGTTACTGTATATGGTACAGTACTATACTGGTACATTCCTCTAATTTTGAAGAATTTATATTACACTAATTTACAGGCCAGCCTGCAGTAGTGCCACGCAAACTGAAATCAATGACGTACAATGATCCACAGCTTGAGAGTAAACATGCCAGTGAAAATCCTCCATTTAATTTCAAGTAAGTTTCTGAACAAATATTTAATTTGCTGAACTATGGAATCTCAGTGTTAGTAAAGCATATGTGCATAAAGTGCAGTCCTGTTCATAACTAAGTTGCATTTCATGTTTGTTACAAGGGTATTGTTCCTTGCGATAACACAGAGTTCATCTTCCTGTCTAAACTCAGCATGTTTACTGAGGGAATGCTGAGGCAGGGATATGCTTTGTGGTTGCTATTACGAGGGAGGAGACTTGGGATTAACTCACAGTGAGGCGTGACAACTTACCTCAGCATTGCCTGGGTTGGTGAGGTTAGTCACCTGATCATCTGTGTCAGGACGCACGGTAGATAGTTGGGCGTCATATGGTGTTTAGTAATACGTACACACGTACATGGGTTCTGGCTAATTATAGGGTCGTGTGAGCTCACATTGGGACTGGTATGAATATTTTCATGCGCAGGTATTGTAATAAATTGAAGAGTTAATACAATTGTTAGGGATGGATACGTGGACTTATTAACCCCACTTTTCGAAACCCCTAGTCAAAGTCTTGGAAATTATTCCATAAATTTCTTAATTTGTTTATGCTGATTCTCTTTATGGGCCTTTCACTGCATTTGATATATAAACACCTAAATGAGAAATTATATATATATATATATATAATATATATATATATATATATATATATATATATATATATATATATATATATATATATATATATATATATATATATATATATATATATATATATATATATATATATTACTATCTCATGGGTAAAAAAATAATGCCATCAGGAATGCATCTCCATATATGCTGTGATACCAAATTCATTTCTCTAACACAGTTAGAGCAGACACTGTGAATGAAGGCTTATACACTTTTTTGCTAGGGCAAAGGAGGTGGTGCAATGAGTGACGGAGGAAGGGAGGGTGTTTCTAACTTAATTATAATTGATTTTACAGACTCCGGTATCAACATTTCTTACATTTTTTTCATAAAAGAATTGAGTCCCCATCATTATACTGTATAATGTAAAAAAAAATGATTAAGGGTCTTATATTAAAAATGTCTTGTAGAGGACTTATTCAGGATCATTATGGTGTCAAATTCATCTTTCTTAACACAATTAGAACAGATGCTGTGAATGAAACTTTATACGTCTTTTGCTAGCCATAAATATTTTTGCATGTGCCTGCGGTTTAAATGTAATGGGAGAATGTTTGTCTGTATGAGATGAGATGATGAAATGCAAAGTTTAGAGTCAAAATGAGATACGTAGTTTAGAATCGAGAAGAGATGTGCACTTTAGACTCTCAGAAAACTTTCTCCAGCACCCAGAAACATTCCGGGAATTAAGGCTACTGTGTGCCTTTGCAAGATGCATAGTTTTAGTCTCTCGGAAACTTTTTCCAGTATGTGGAAAAATTCTGGGGACGTAGGATTTTTCTGGGCTTCAGAGAGTCGACTCGTTACCCAAGATCTCTCATCCCTGGAAGAGCTTCGCATCAATTGTTACGGCTTACGGGGATATCACTCTACTTATTTACACTGTATGGTATTGAAGTTATTTCCATCTTTGCAGATCAGAAGTCAAGAGTCCAATCAGAGTATCAAATGCTCATCCATCCAAACCGGGTAAACAAAAGAAAGGAAATGTTTATGACCCTCGTCCATCATCCCAAAGACGTGTCAGCTTTGTTGGGGACGATGCCTTTGATCAAGGTACCAGTATTTCTTTTACTTTCCAATATCTATGTTATCACCATAAAATTTCTTATTTTTATAATCATATTGAACTGTAAGATCATTCAGAAAAATTGGCATTAATCTACAAAATTGAAAGAAATACTGCAAAAAGATCTACTGTAAATTTTACCTAAGGATGATTTGCATCAGTTAAATCTTTTGCTGAAGTTATTGTTTTTATGTTTTACATTTTATCTCAGATAAATCATCAGTGAATGGGAACATGACTGGGCCTGACAGTGATGCTGAAGATCCATTGTATTCATCAGTGAAACCCAAACATGTCTCTGTTGATTCTAAGAAGCAACAAGAATCAGAGGAACAACCAAGAAAAAAAGATGAAAATAGTAATAAATCTGAGAAAAAAATATCCAAAGTCAGATCAAAGTTGTCACATAAGAAACTGCAAGGATTTGACAACAAGGGTTTTCTTGGTAAGACACTGAATATTCCCTTTTAACTGTGCAATAATCATTTACCATTATATTTCATCTTCATAAGGTTTGTTGTATCATTATTTTTACTATTCAGGTGTTTATGCAATATCCTTTATACTATCTACACAGTTAAAATCTGCTGTGCTGTTACCTTCAGCTGAATTCCTGAGGATGATCATTTGATGGGTAATATACCCTGGCCTTGAGAGTTGGTTGGTAATATTTTCTATAGGAGGCCCATGTGGAGGTAACTCTGACAGAATCTTATAACTTTTCTGCATGCAATTCTTAGGATACAGGCAATGCTTCCATTTATTACTGTAGCTATTACCCATTACATTGCCAGCTTAATTTTTTTCTATTAAAACTTATACAGTAAGTCCTCAAGTTCATGTATCCAAGCAACTTAAAGTAGCTTAGTATGAGATGGGTGGATAGGACCCTGGGACCATAAACCCCCAAAATCAGGTACTGTATGTATGACACTCATACTGATCCAGGGACCATAAACATAACTTTTCACATAATGGTATGTCTATCATTTTATGATATGACCCAGGGACCACTGACCTTAAAGAGTGCCACATTAATCGTATGTACAAAGTGAGAGATGGCTATAAGTAAAAAATGCAATGATTTGTACTCGCCATCCAAAGAGCTGGTGCATATCCATAGTATGCAAGTGGTTACTTGTGTTGAATCTCAGATTAATAAATTATTGTTAACTAAATCTGTAATACAAGATGTATGTTCCTCCATAATTTGTGGGTAGTAGCTACCATTAGAAGTAGAAGTCTTGTCCTTACTACTCACAGAACTGTAATACTGTACGGGGTTAATTATGTATAAACAATGCTCTTGTTGAGTGGCACATTCACTACATAACAATTTTGTTATACATTGACTTTATTTTTTCATCTATTCATTTTATTATATGTTTTCATTGTTTTTTTGTGGTTCTAAAAAAAATTCAAATTTTGTTGGAAAAATTCAAACTACCCCCTCTATTGCATGTTTGGGTGACTATGATGTAAGACTGATCATAAATGAAGTCGACATTAGCTGGTAATGTGAACACTTGATTATGAACTTGAGGATGGTTACTGTAACTATATGAATTGCATAGAACATATGGTAGTTTTAGATATCCCTGGAAGTGGAATACTTTCGTTAGTTAAACTCATTAATCTATAACCCCTGCCAAAACAGGGTTTATTAATGTTGTAATACACATTAGATCATTCACTATGATAATTTATTCATAGGTAAAATTTTTGCCATAAGAGGTTGATGTACGGTGCTTCTTCTTTGGCTACATTCAACGCTCAGTTAATATTAAATATCTTTCACTTATTGATTACTTCTCATGATTTGCCATTATTTTCTTTTTTACATGTTTCTTTATCATTGCACTCACCTTTTCCACATTGCCCTCTGGATGGATTTACATAACTTCTACAGGCAGTCCCTAATTACAAAGATTCAGTTTACAAAAATCCAAAGTTACAAAATAAAAGTCTCATTCAAAGTTTTTAAAAAAAATTATTCTCGCTCGATTCGTAAATTTTTGCAGCATCAGAAGTTGCTAAGATTCTGACACAAACATCTCAGGGCTTCCCATACCAGACCTGGACAATTTATAAAGACAATTAAACTAAAAACAACATACCAGTACTGTACTGTATTAAGAGTGGTTAACTAAGCTAAAAATAATATATTTGTAGTGTTTTAGTAATCATGGTCCACAATATCATTAGTGAAGCAGTGGCAAAACTCATGAGATTCTACTGTGGGAATATTGATGTGTTTAACATTCTTGAGGTAAATCTCATGTCAATGGAAAGATTTAAGTGTTACCTGTAATGGAGAAGTTCAGCATTTCTTCTTTAGAGAAAACGTCAGCATAAATCAAATCCAGTGAAAGTAAAACATCTCAGAATGAACAGTATATACATACTTTGCAGTAGACTTACTGTTGGTGCATCATTACCAAATTAAAATCATATATCTTGGCTGAGCCTCGCAGTCTCAGATTGCATTACAACCAGTGGCACAGTTTCTCGGTCGCTAATGTGTGCTGCACTATGTGTGTTTCACATATCGTATATATTTTTGGCTTATAATCATTGTGTACTCTAAAAATTTTCATTGTTTTGTGACATTTCAAGACAGTTTGGGGAAGAGTTTTTTCAGCTTTTATATTGGGAGTGTTGGAAAATTTGATTTTATATACAAAAAAGGGTTTACACAAGGTTTATCAGGAGCAAAACCCCATTGTAAATAGGGAATGCCTGTATAAATCAGTTTCTTCATATCTTAAAGTGTAGGACAGAGTGTTATCAGTAAGTAGCTGAGGTAGGAAGCAAACAATGATTCCACCTATGCTAAAAGTGTCCAGAGGCATACTACACTTTTTCCATACACTTTGAAATTAAAAACCATTGTAGTCAGTCTTCCATGTTTGTTGAAGCTTAGCAAGAGTTTTGAAATTCTTAACTTTGTAGCTATAAACGAGAGGCGTGACTTACGGGCTAGGTTAGCGTGGAAATACTATAGGTTTCAGTTGCAGTCGGCATAAACTCTATTCACTAATGAACTTCCCCATTTAGTTACACAAGACAACATATGTGCTTTTCTTGTTTAAATCTTAAAAGGGATTGTTCTCCAGCGAAGTCTGAAGTTTGGTTTGAGAAGTACGATAGCATCACCTCTGTGAAATGTGTTCCTACCAATGTAATTTAATTACCTGTAATCTTGTCTTTACCTTCAATTTACTCTTACTTGGACTAAGCACACCAACACCAGATATTTCAGTGCAATGAATTGATCTCTCCTTATTAAGGGGATGTCAAAGTTACTTTGACTTATTAACACTTGAATTAAAAATGTATTGTTATTTATAATTTTGAAGCATATACTGCAGTACAGTAATTTTGCATGTTTAACAGTTAAACAAGTACAGGTACAGGATGTCTGTTACATGGACATGTGTATTTAACGTTGTTGTGACATTTTTTACCCAGTTATTCTGTATGTAGAAGAGTAATTAGAGCTATCATAGAGGACTGAGTGATTAAGATTTAAATTTGATGATAATATATAAAACAAGATACAGTATGTGTATAGAGACATGCAATTAATGCCAACGTATGTACAAAGTTTCAGAAAATAAAACTAAAGCTGGCAAACATCTTTTATGTTGTTTTGAACATTAATTGGGTGCCAGTTTCACAAATGAGAAAGCTTGATGTTTTGTAAATCCATTGTGTTCAGCACCTTTTTACTTAAATTGCTTTACTGACCTTATCATCACCCCTTGGTTTCATGGGTTGTAAAACTGGAGCATAATTTGCATTACTCATCCCTGCATATTTTTTACAATTGATCAATTTCTCACCTTCATCTTTGGTTGTTCCATCCAATCCTTAAGTTTAATATATCATTGAAAGATAAAGTCAGCTTCTTGATTGGAGAACTTTTGTTATTAACATTTTCCTCTTGATTGGTTGTGTATAAAAGCATGATGTTATTCCTTTGGCAAATATTTCATTGTCATTATATTTCAGATGATCAGGCAACAGTGACTCAGCATGTTCTTGCAGATGCTGTTGTTAAAAAGCAAAATGATGCTAGTCCACTAAATCCAAAGCCTCAGGCCTTGATTAATCAACAGCCTCCATCCAAGCTACCACAAGATCATGATACGTGTGAACAGGGACTCAAGCATGATGCATCCCACATAACGTCAAATACTGACAAGAGTGTATTATTTAGCAGAGAATGGTGAGTCACACTGTATGTTATTTGTTATTAGCTAAAATTTTGTTGTTCAAATGAGAACACAAGGCTTTGACTTCAAAGCTGGAGGCTTGGATTCATCTCCATGCCTGTTTTTTATGCATGATATCGTTGTCATAAAAACAAGCAAAAATCCGAGGCATATTACCTGATACTTTTAGGCCTCAGGCCCAACAGTCTATTCATAATTTTTTTCTTATTACTTCCTCAAGTGGCTACATAATTTCTGTAGTATTCAACTTTGTGTACCCTCACTGAAAATATAACAGCCCTACGTGCAGTCATAAACTGTACTCTGATCTAGTACGATCTCCTTGCTGCTTGCTCCACTCTCGTTCAGCACTTCTATGATTTCTACAAAAAGAACTTATTGTATAGATGAGTCATACCAAGATGAGTCATTTTGTTCTGGAATTCTCTTCGCGACCTCTGGACAGTAACGGTCAGAATTGGGTTGGGAGACCTCATTATGTAACTATAGTTCCTGAAAGTAATTGTTTTACTGTAAAAAGGGGGGTTTTGGGATATTAAAACCAAAAGAAACCAAAGCATGGTCAGAGATTGCTGAATCGATCAGGTCAACTGCAACGTCTAATACACTATCACAGTCAGCAGGAGACAAAATTAGGTCTAGAATGTGTCCAGAAAGATGTGTAGGACATGACACATGATTGACAAAATTGTTTAGATCAATAATTTCCAAAAACTCAGAGGAAGAAAGTTTCAGAGATGGGTTGTTATCCCAATAATTAACGTCACCACAGATCAACCGTTGCCCATCCATTCCTGAGAAAGTCTATAGAAACATGCGAAATTTATCCGTGAACTACATATCTGTACCTAGGTGACCCGGCGATTCTAATAACTTGGTGATGCAGATTTATTAACGCCTCCATAAATTCAATAGGGGAAGAACAGAGTCACTACTTATCAGTCAAATGTTGAGCAGGGCCACAGAATAGATCAGCGCCACTCTGCCACCCGGAGCTCCTGCAACAGATCTGGAAACATGAAGAAGAGAATGTATCTTAGGAAGAACACTACAAATATTGTTGATATCTGATTCACTCAACCATGTTTTGGTTACCCAGAAGCTGTGGTAGCTGATCTCCCTCAGAAACTCATTAATGTGACACATTTTGTTTCAGATCGCACAGATATTAAGTAGACCTACTTTTAATAGGCTCAAAGAGGACACTACACATTTTTTGAACGAGTAAAGTCAGTGTTCTCGGTTACTTTTTTACTTTGGGAAGTCATCATAGGGCAATCTTAACTTGATGCAAAAAGACTGACTGTCGATCAGTTAATATTGACAAAAAGAATCCTGAATTATAATTTACATATCAGTTTAAAACTTCCCTAATGTTTGTACACTTTTTTGTGTCACTTGAAATATGATTTACACTGTCTTAGAATTTTACTTTATAATTTTTTTTTGATACTTTTTTCGTGAGTTCATGAAATATATGATAGTTTTGTAGTGTGTTCATGTACAGTGATATCCCCGTTAGCCGGAATTATTGGAAGTCTGAAAAGAAAATTCTGCCTCTTGGAGAGTTCTGGGATCGAAGAATCTGGCTAACGGAGAGATTACTGTAATCAGTTTCACTGGTATGAAGATGAAAATCATTTCTTGGCATTTTTTGTTGCTCTTTTATTAATTTATTAAGAATTTCAGTGATTAATTCCATTATAATAATATTTTACTAAAATTTGAATGCATTTGCATATCTGTGGAATATTCATTACATTACTGATGTTATCATTTTCCAGGTCACCACCTCTCATTCTGAGTATTGGAGAAACGTCACTACAGTTTGCTGGGAAAAAACCTCTGGAGGCCATTAATAGAGTCATGGGTGAAGTCTTTGCCATGGTTACCTTCCCTTTCTCCTGTTTTACACTCTTCATTCATCATCTGTTAAGGTAAGAAAATGAAGCAAATATTCACCAGTTGTATGCTCATAGCTCACACTCCTCAACCTTAAATTGTTCAAAATGTTAATAATGTCCATTTTATATACTAGTACTGTGTTGTTCTTTTTTCCTATGAATTATGGATTTATTTTAGGTTTTCTTCTTCAGATTCTTTGTTCTGGGTGTTGTAAGGCCTCTCTTGGTTGACACTTTAACACTGATGGTAGAGTATCTTGTGCGTCCTTTCATGAGTGGTGTGGTAAGGCCCCTTTTGGTCAGTTTGCATGGAATTTCGATGAACTTGAGTGACACCCTGGTAGTGTGTGTTAGACCTATAGTTGCTGTGTTACAGTCGTTCAGGCTAGTTGAGGTTAATTATACACGTAAGTATTCTGTGGAGGAAATTTAGATATGTATTTGTTTATTGGCATTACTTCATAGATTTGAAGTACTTATTGGATGTGCCATTAAGATTTGATGAATTTCAAGTGAAGATCTCTTATTTACCATAAAGGTAACATAGATTTGTCAATTAACCTGTATTAAGCTTTGCAGGAGAATACAATCACTTAACATTTTTTACTCTTTTGTAGTTACAGTATTTCAGTGCTGTTATATTGTTTGTTATTGTATTTAAGCTTATTTTGTGTCAGTTTCTAACTGAAAGAATCAGAATTGAATTTGTAAAATTTCAGTACCTGGATAGTAATCCACTTTATTTCAGTTTTCAAAGTATGCCATCAAAAGGCAAATTATGCTGTAACATTAACACTTGACTGTCAATTATTTAAGTTTTCTAGATGGTTCTTGTATACAGTACAGTATACCAAGAATTAAAAAATTCAAATATTAACATGTGGATACAAAAAAAAGACAAAATCCACACAAAAGTATTCTTTAGCCTTTTGTTTTCATATATCCAGAGGGCAGCAGTTAATGATTTAATAGACCACCAAACATTTCATAACACAGCACTCATTTATAAAGAATTCTAAAAAAATGCATTCCATAGAACTTCACTTTATTGTATTTTTCTCAGGATCAGGAGAACAATAATCGAGTGTCTCTCTGCAACATTTGCACTCTATCTATAGCCAGGGATTGGTCTTCCTGTTCTTTCAGTGATATCATTGGAACCTTTCAAGGAATGGCTTGAAAGTACATACTCATTTTGACTTTATTATTCCATCTGTTACTTTGATATTTTATAGACTAGAATTATATGAAATGATACTGAACATGAAATGTACAATGTGTTTCATAGCGCTCTTCACTCATGACTAATGAATTGTCATTTAACTGCACCAGATTGCTCTGTGAACATGATGGCATAAGGAGAGATTTCAGTCATTGTATTGTACGGTAACCTGATAATTAAGAAATTGTGTCGGACATATGGTTTGACAGTTTTTCTAGTCATTAATGTAGAATTTGAGTAATAATTTAGACATTTCCTAGTCATTAATGTAGAAGTTGAGTACACTGTAATAATTTTGACAAGTTTAGTGGTAAGTGTAGAATTTGAGTCATAATTTCAACAAATTTCCTAGTCATTATTGTAGAATTTAAGTCATATCCAGTACAGCATCATGTACAGTGGTCCCTCGGTTAACAAACGCCTCGGTTAACGAAATTTCGGTTTACGAATTACTTTCCATAATAATCTTTAATTCGGTTAAAGAAAAAAAATTCGATTAATGAAGTTCTTACGAAAACATGTCAACATGTTTTGGCTTGCTCATCGGCTGGTAGGTTAGTCCGCCAATCCAGTAATTGGTTCTAGGGCTTACATTCGTTTCCATTGGAGTAAATATCAAGAAGGTTGTGCTATTCAATATTTTTCCAAGTTTTATATTAAAATTATTAGTCATTTTAACATTTATTTAACATAATTGCAGTACAGGGAACTAGTTTTTGGTGCGCCCATCAGCCACTTCACTCACCCACCAAGGCGTCTGTTTGTGTCTCTGCTCAGTGGAGGAAACATCTTGCTTGTGGGTCTCTTGAACACAGAGTATTTTTACGTTTTTACAGTACAATTATTGGTCATTCTGAAATTTATTTAACTTATTGATAATATATAGTGCAGTGCAGTGTTGATTTAAAGAAAATAATCTTGAATTACACCTAATGAACTTAAAATTTTATTGGTGAAATGACAGCATCAAGCATGGGTCCCCTGGAAAGTGATTTCTCCTCCATCCCCGCTTCCTTCTCTTCTCCCTTCTCCTCCACCCCCACTTCTAATTCCCATCATCATCATCATCATCATCAACCAGGAGCCTTCTACATACACACCTCAAAGTAAGTGTACTTTTCTATACTTTTTTTTACTTTTTATGTACTTTTCGGTGAGCTGGAACCAATTACCCAATATCCCATTTAAACAATGGATTCAGTTAACAAAATTTTTGGTTAACGAACGACCTTCTGGAACGAATTGTGCTCATTAACTGAGGGACCACTGTAATATATACAGTAGTTATTATTACTTTTATGCATACTTTTTTGTTTTGCAGTATAAACATGAATTGATGCTATTCCAAATATATTTGGGACTACTGTATATGCTTTAATAACATACTGGTAGTTAATAAAGCTACATACTGTTCTTTATGTATAAAAGGGGTGAAAGCAAGCTTTTTAATTTTATGTCTGCACATTAGTGATAAGATGATGAAAGAACCAGATTTTGGTCAGATTCTATCATCAATAACTTGAGCAGGTCTTTGCACTAAAAATATAGTTATCACAAACATGTATGTAACGTACTGGTATACTCTATGAAAGTGAAATTAGGTTCCATATACCCAACCGCCCAGCAAGGGTAGTGCAATACAGCACACGGAATACTGTACTGTACTAAGTCTTCGATACAAAAGGAAGCAATATACCTATCACAGCACTTCATTGCTTTCACTTCTCTATTTGTAAAGTTAGTGCCCATTCACAGTTTGTGGACAAAAGGTTAGCACACTTATCTCCTTAGCCCCCACACCCAGTAATATACTATTTACTTGAGCATTAATGCTCTTAATTATAATTTTATATCACTGAGAATTCTTACTGAACCCTAAGAAATATATGACCAAATATTCTTTCAGAATATTCATCTTTTAAATTATCTTATATACTTAACTATTTTAGTATCTACTGTACAACACTAGAATCATAATCATCGCTTCGAAACCACTTGTTTAAAAAAATATATTCCCTGTATTATGTGAAGATGTTTAATATGCATAGCAAAATTTTTACTCATACATATACCCACAATGTTTGTCAATCCACTGAAAAGACACTATGGAAATAATTCTTGATTAACCACTATATATAACTTATCTCTATTGAGACTACTAGGGTACAGCACAGTTCGGGGGAAGTTCAGTACTGTATGTACAGTAAATGTTTCTTTTAGTCTTGCATAGTTTTTGGCAATATTGTATGTTCTATAAATGTCTCCATAATATTAGTGAAGTGTAAGGAAGTCAGGGTTTACTTAATGAAGCTTAAAAGGTACTGAAGGTACAAAAATTGTCATCTGGTCAATATGGTTATTCTAGTAAATTTTTTGTTAATTTTTTGTTATCTGCTTACAGTAGTTAAAGTATCATCTAGATCAGTGGTATTTAAACAGGGGGGCATGCCCCCCAAGAGGGCATTAGAAGATTCCAAGGGGGGTGCGAGCGATCAGAGAGAAAAGTACGGTCAGGAACTGAACGCGTCTTGTACACGATTGCTCGTCCCCCCACTCTATAATAACCAAGGGTTGCATCAGGGGGTGGGGGGGGGTGGGATCTAGGACTTATGGAGAGGGGGGGTGCAGGATCTAGGACTTATGTGAGGCAAAAAAGTTTAAGAACCACTAATCTAGATAGTGATTTTTCTATTCAATTGTTATTTAATATTTTTCCTGTACAGTATTTAATTTAAAACAAAGTACAGTGACCCCTCGTTTAACGAACGCCTCGGTTAACGAAATTTCGGTTAACGAACTGCCTTCCATAAGGATCTTCAATTCGGTTAACGAACAAAAATTCGGTTAACGAATTTCTTACGAACCGACCTCAACATGTTTTCGCTTGCACTGGCCGGGCAACCAGCTTAAGTATCAGTCCGCCAATACATTAATCGGTTCTAGGGCTTAAATTCCTAACTATTTTAGTAAATATCAAGAAGTTTATACTATTCAATAATTTTAAAAGTTTAATATTAAATTTTTTAGTCATTTTAACAATTATTGAACATAATTGAAGGTAAAGTGACTAGTTTAAAGCGCAGCATCCAGCCTCTTAACACAGCAAACAGGTGTTAGTCTCTCTGTTTTCACTGGAGGTAACATCTTGCTTGAGACTCTCTTCAACTAAACGCTTTTTTCTGTGTTTCCAAGCAAATTATTGGTCATTTTGAAATATATTTTACATATTGACAATATATAATGCAGTACAGTGTTGATTTAAAGAAAATAATCTTGAAATACACCAAGAGAACTAAAATTTTATGGGTGAAATGGTGCCATGGGGTGACTTCTCTTCCACCCCAATGCCTTCTCTTCTTCCTTCTCCTCCACCCCCATTGTAATTCCCATCATCATCATCATCATCCAGGAGCCTTCTACATACACACCTCAAAGTAAGTGAACTTTTCTACCATTTTTGTTGAATTTAGGAAATTTTCGGTGAGCTGGAACCAATTACCCAAAAACCCATTGAAACAATGGTTTCGGTTAACGAACTTTTCGGTTAACGAACGACCTTCTGGAACGGATTGAGTTCGTTAACCGAGGGGTCACTGTATGTAATGGCTTAATTTATTTTACTTTACAGAGGTTAATTATTTGCATAGTTATAAGAAATATTATTTATTTATGTTTATTTAGGATTTTTTATATTTTGTATAATTTTTTGATAGTACAGATAGATAGTGGCACAGATACATTTACAAGATACCATTCATTCACATAGGTATGCCCTTTTTTATTATCTTTGTACAGTAAATTTGGTGACTTTAATCTTATATTAAGGGAATGTCCTAATGCAGAATTATGTATTTGGCATAGCAGAGATGGTGGGCCACTTGTCTGTCAAAACCTCAAGCTTAGTTATACTTCTTATCCATTTGTGGATGATGCATATTTATTTATACAGTATGTTGAACCCAGTTAAGACCAAATAGACTTGATTAAATAATATCCACAAATCTCGAATGAGAGGGGGGCCCACATCCCGAGATCTTAGTGGACAGCAAGTGATTCTTGCCAAGTAGCTGTGGAGATTTCCCCAGACTAGCTGTAACATTTAACCTGTGGGTAATCTAGTGGGTATTACTGCATGGGTGGGGTGGGATGTAGAGGGTCTAACAGGGGTGGGGTGGGATGTAGAGGGTCCAACAGGGGTGGAACTCGAGTATAATACCCATAAATTGCACCTTAAAAGCATACAGATATCGCTGTTCAAGCAGCAGACGATCATCTGTATGTTGCAGTTGGAAAGTTGTCAACAAAATTGCTTTGATGAGTAATATAGATTTTTAAATGTGTTCTTAAAAAGTTAGCCAAACTTCTCTCATTTTTATATATACCTGTACTGTATTTTTATAATACTGTATTCAAAGATGTGCTACATATAGAGGCTAGTATTGTAATTATATAAATTATGAACATGTTTTTTCACAGGACTTGCTCTTAGGGCATCTTTTCCCTTCTCATGAACATTCCAGTACTCTAATCCATAGGCAATGATCACGCCATGGGCTTTCACTATGCTTCTTGAATACCAATTGTAGGTATTCCTTATAGGGGATACCCTATGCTCCATGAAGGACGTGTCCTGTTTTTGTTTTTCAAATTGTGCTCCTTTATTTTGCTGGGAATACAAAGTCTTGTAGCTAATAAATTGAAGAAAAGTTATTTTGGGCAACTGTATACCTTCCCACTGCCTTCTTGGGGTCCCCCACCAATTATTCATCAGTAACTTCTTGACAGTGATACTGTGTGGATGCCACTCCACCTCCCTGATCCCTCCTCACTACTTCCCACATCGTCTGCTCACCAGCATTGTACTATATATTTTTATGTTATGTTTCAACACATTTTTTTTTACCATTGGGGCGGTACTGGGTGAACTGGTACACTTTCCTGGTCCACTAATGGCATGCATAGAGAGTTTTGTTTACATACTCTAGAAACTATTCTGTACTTATGGAGAAGGCCAAAAATTAACTATATTGTACTGTATAATTTTTTTATATTTTCCAAAAAGGGTGAATTGGTCCATCTTTGACAGTCCACAATACCACTAAGACGGCCCATAATTTATAGGACTTTGTCTTGGATTTCCATACTCCATAAACTGTATCCTACGAATCCATAACATCGAGATTTAAGATTTTTTTTTCTTTTCTTTTATTTTCATTTGGGGATATGGCACTGGGGGTATGCATCCTGTAGGGGTTAATTAATATATATATATGTATATATACAGTGTATATATATATATATACAGTATATTTTTGTACATACTGTATTGGCGAGGTATTACCCATAGGTACAGTACTGTACAGTAGTTGAAATGGTTCAGTTATGTGAAGAAATAGAGAGGACCATTTGGATCAAGAGATGCATGAGTTTGAATGTGGAAGGGAGGAATACTAGGGGTAGGCCAAGAATGACATGGGGAGAAGTTGTAAAATAGGATATCGGAGTTAAAATCCCGATAAAAGGGGCTGATAATTATAATCACTGGTAACCCATTTATGTGTGGATAATGGACATAAAATTATCATGATATTCTCAAATGCATGATCTGTCACAAGAGAATTGTAGTTGTTTATAATCTGTGCCTTATTCTTCTTATGTAATGTTGCTCAA